ATATATATACATAGTATATATGTAATTTTTTTTTTTTTTTTTTTTTGAGATGGAGTATCACTGTCTCGCCCAGGCTGGAGTGCAGTGGTGGCGTAATCTCAGCTCACTGCAACCTCCACCTCCCGGATTCAAGCAATTCTCCTGCCTCAGCCTCTTGAATAGCTGGGACTACAGGCGTGCACCACCATGCCCAGCTAATTTTCGTATTTTTAGTAGAGAGGTGGTTTCACCATGTTGGCAGGGCTGGTCTCAAACTCCTGACCTTGTGATCCACTGGCCTTGGCCTTCCAAAGTGCTGGGATTACAAGTGTGAGCCACCACACCCAGCCAGTGGTTTATATATTTTAACTGAGACATTTTGATGAACTTAAATGGCGATCTGGGCCTTCCTCCGTCCTTTTAGCTTACATTCTTCACTGATAGGGGTAGTTGTATTTTAAACCTGAAGCTCATTATTTCGGATGTGTGGGGCTCCAACAGAAGTCCCTTGGTGTGTGTGTTCCTTGTTGGGCCACAGATAGTGTAAAATGTAGACTCCAGAAGCCTGGATGCGTGTGTATTTACATGTGCACATGCGTGCGCACGCACACGTTTGTTAACAAAGCATTTTATTTAAACACTGGCTAAGGCACAAACATGCCTACTTTGTATTTTTATTTATTTATTTTTCCTTTAACCTCCCTCCCCCATTCCCCCTGCCCAGTCCCCCGCCTGTTCCTGTCCTGCTGGGCTCACATTCCTAGGTCTTTGTCTCCGCCTGGTATTTTAGAAATTTTGGGAGAGGAAGGCAAAGGGTGGGACGTTCTGGAAGCTGGGGGCAGGGAAGAGGGTGGTCACTTGCAGGGTCAGAGGTCAAGCCTCCTCCATTTAGCTGGGGCAGCCGGATTGTCGCCAGGCCCGAGGGGGCGTGTCCGTGCATCTGCCGGGGAAGCCCCAAACAGGCCCTGGAATTCCTGCTGCTAGACGACCTGTTCTTCCCAGTCCCTTCCCCCCCTTTCCCGGGAGCTGCCATTCATGGCTACTCGCACATTTCTGGCTATATAGGACCCTCCACACAGCTCTAGTTTATTCCCTTAAAAATAATCTTACACCTGTTTCAGAGAGAATTGCACCCATGCACATCCTTACCTATTGATTGTTTAAACAGCTCTAAAATTGTGGTTTTTCAATCTCAGAAAATGTGGTTAGAAGAGACGGGGAGCTTCTAAATGAAGTGTGAAATCTTACCAAAGTTTTGCGCCAACTTTTAGCTGGAAGGCTTATAAAAGTGGATTTCATTTTATAGTTTTTGGACAATTCATTCTTTTACAAAATTCATTGTTTACTAATTATGAGGACATTGAGGCTATTCTTTTTACTCACTGGTAGCTTTTTATTATCAACCATTTGGGTGCTCCCTGCCCCCACTTCTGCTGCAGGCAGCCTGGGAGCTGTAAAAGCACTGGCTCTTCTGAAACCACAGTGTGTTTTGGGTACTTAGAACTGCATCGATCCTGTGTAAAACGATACCAGGCAGAGATTGCATTCAGAGACCCCTTTCACTCCTGTATCTGGGCTCTCAAGGCTGGTCGAGGGCTCTGGTGTTGGCTCAGGGCAGCCTGCTTTTCTCTGCCATCAGTAGCCACTATCTGTTCTGACCAGGACTTTTTTTCTGGCTACTGCGTCTGCAGAATCTTTTAAAACCTACCATTCATGGGGGGATTGCCCACGTCCAGCATCATCCGGTTTCTGTATTTTAAGTTGATGATCTAAACCTGAGAAAAATGACCTTAATTCTTTATAGCTGGGAGTCTAGAGTGGGCATCCTGGCTCAGCCAGAACTTACTACTTACTTGTTTTTGTTGTTCTTTCTTTTGCATTCTCACAGAGTTGCCCAGGCTAGGTGTAGTGCTGCGGTCATGGCTCACTGCAGCCTCCACTTCTTGGGCTCAAAGGATCCTCCCACTCCAGCGTCCTGAGTAGCTAGGACTACAGGCATGAGCCACCACGCCCAGCTAAAAAATAATAATAATTTTTTTGTAGTTTGGACCCAAGTGCTCTTCTAGCCTCAGCTTCTCAAGGAGCTTGGACTACAGGCGTGAGCTGCCATGTCCAGCTACTAGAACTTAATTTTGAAGCTCTTTGTTTTCTGTTGTCAAGTCTCTATAGATAGGCTCTCTGGGGTGGAAGGAGTCTCCGGAGGTACCTAGTCAGGCCTCTTGCGTTTCACAGATGAGACTGAAGCCCAGACAGGTCAAGAAATGCAACTGGACAGATGGTTCCATAGCCTGGGTAGCATGAGGCTCAAGTTTACAGCCTGAGGTTCTTTTCCACTCACTAGCTATGGAGATGAGAGCAGTCTAGATGGTTATATTTTCAAGAGCCCATAGTCCAAAGGAAGCAGGGGAGAGAGTGCCATTCAGTCCGCACAGCTGTCTTGAAGAGGGAAAGACAAAGGATGCGTTTTCAAGGTTGCTTAGCTTTTGCAAGTGGGAAGGCCACTGAATGTTTAGTGGTGTGTTTTATTCACATGTAAAAGAAACTTTCTGAAGGAAGTTTTTTCACACTTTATATCAGCATAGGAGTGATCCCTTTATTCCCATGACAAATGGAGAGAGCAAAGGAAAGGGATGTGGTTCCAACTGGTAGAATTGCTTTAGCACCACATCGTAAAAAGGGATCGGCCAGGAATTTTTCCCGAATTTATCCAGATCAGCATCTTTTGGTGAGTATTTCTACTTGAGAATTTTAGATTTAACAGATTATTAGGATTAGATAATCTCTAAAGGATGGATCAGCTTAAAAAGCAACTGACGTTAAAGGAGGCAAATTGCTGCTACCAGGATTTCGTCTGCCATCATGACTGGCAAAGTACTGCAGTGATCAAAATTGGTAGGAAAGTTACAAACCTTAACACATTTCCCTTTTATAAAGTAGGATCCATAAAACCTGCTGGTTATAGCAGAACTATTTCTTTGCAAAAGTAAAAACAATATCCTAAATCTTTCCTTTTTCTTTCTGAATTGTAAGGTTTCTAGAGAATCAGTTTAACCCATGGTGGATGATTACACACTTCTCTGGTAATTAGCCCTGAGAAGAGCAACTTTTTCTTCCACTTCTCCTCTCCCTCCTCCCCCTCTTTCCCCTCCTCTTTCTCCTCTTCCCCCTCTTCCCCTTCTTCTCCCTTCTCCTCCTCTTCTTCCCCCTCCTCCTCTTCCTCCTCCTTTGAGGCAGTCTTGATCTGTCACCCAGGCTGGAGTGCAGTGGCTCGATCTTCACTCACTGCAACCTCCGCCTCCTGAGTTCAAGCAATTATTCTGCTTCAACCTCCCAAGTAGCTGGGAGTACAGGCGTCCACCACCACGGGCTGGCTAATTTTTGTGTTTTTAGTAGAGACGGGGTTTCACCATGTTGGCCAGGCTGGTCTCGAACTCCTAACCTCAGTAATCCACCTGCCTCAGCCTCCCAAAGTGCTGGGATTACAGGCGTGAATCTCTGTGCCCGGCTGAGTGGAGCAACCTTTTTGTCCTTTCCGGAACCATTTAGGGGGAGCATTTTTCTAGTGGACATACTTCATGCCAATATTTTGGTTGTTAATAAAATAAAGATCTTGGAGAAGGAAAGAAGCAGCAGTCTCCCTCTGTTTGCCCGCCCCTAGCCCTCTCTCTTTGGAGCTCTCTGCCAAGAAAACTTTCTAGGTCACTTCCAAGCTTTCTCCCCATCTCTATCTCCCACAGCACCCTGCCCTCCTGCTCGCCAGAATGAGCTCCTATTCAGTCTGGGGAGAATGGCCTGGAATCTCGCATCCTGGATCTCCACTATACCTAGCAAGGTGCTGTGTACTGGGCATGAGAGTCAGTGTCATACCTGTGTTGGAACCAGCTCTGCAGAAGGCTCATGTTGGCTTCCCTGCTGTGTCTTTGCTAATTCTGTGGTCTTGAGCACCCTCAACCCCATGTCTTTACCTGAAGATGAAGTGCGATGTTTTGTATGTGGAAGAATGCCCCTTGCAGACTGCTTCTCTGCCTGTTGCATGTTAGCTAGCTTCCCCTCACACCCAGGTGTACCAGAGGCAAATTTCATCTCTGCTCTTGAAAGCAATCCAGCAAACATTTACAGAGTGGTGCTAAGTGCCCTGCTCTGTGGAGAGATACACAATAATGAGACTGGCCCAGTTTCTGTGCCAAGGAGTTTTCTCTCTTGAGAGCTCCTTATTTATTATTAGCAGGTAAAGGTTGTGCCAACCCTTCTCTCTCTCTGTCCCCCTCCCAGCGTGCCGGGCCCCAGGGAAGTGTAGAACATCACATAAAGCAGTTCTGTCAGCACTGGCTGCCTCCCAGGTTCAACTCCTTGGAATAACTTGGCATGAAGAAGAAAGGCAAGGAGCTGGCTGACCTTACCACTAGCTTTTTTGCCTTCGTTCCAGAAACTTAAGTCTGTAGATCGCTTGAGTGTCTGGGAGAACCATGCTTTGCACCTTGCACTTTGCACTAATCTCCTCGATGGGTGGGGAGGCAACATGCTGTGGCGTGAGGATGATTGTTGCTGGCTCTTAAGCTTGCTTCACACATCCAGGCCGGAGCAGCAAAGGAAACTTCTGGCATATTCTTGCATCCAGGCCACCAATATCAGACTAGGCAACATGGTCTTAACAACTTTTCCGGATAATGAAGCTAAGATTCAGGAGAGACTCTCGTGCTGGGAAGTTTGTTTTGTTTAGTTTCTGCCTTTGAAGTGTTTCTGTTATGGTTCTGAATGAGACTAGAGTGGGATGTGGCATTCAGGTATTCCTACCTCCATTCCTCCTTGATTAGGGGCAGAGAGAGTGGAGAAAAAGGGAAGTAGGTATTTTTAGTTGTGTTTGCAGTTACTTCACTGCTGCCTCTCCCTATGGGGTTTGCTTGCTTGTTGGGGAGGGGGTGGTTCTGTTGTAGGACCCAGGGTCTTTCGGTTGCCGACTTCCCTCCTCCTCCCATCCTGCATCTCTCATTTATGTTTGTCCCCTCTCTGGTCCCCAGGTGCTGCACCTGTACTGTGACACTTGCTCTGTGCCCATCTGTCGTGAGTGCACAATGGGCCGACACGGGGGCCACAGCTTCATCTACCTCCAGGAGGCGCTGCAGGACTCACGGGCACTCACCATCCAGCTGCTGGCGGATGCACAGCAGGGAAGACAGGCAATCCAGGTGAGCCAAGTTGCCACAGTTCCCACGGGAATCGGGGCCCCCCTTTCTGTCAGGTGGCATAAAAGACAACTGGGCAGATTGCAGTGTGAGGGGGGTAGAATAGCGACCCACATGAGCTCACGTGACATCCCCGCAGCAGCAGTCTCTTTAGGGGTCCTGGCAGTCTCCTGAAGATGTCAGGGATGTGGCCAAAGTTACTGGTCAGATTTCCAAGCGTCTAACCTGGGCCACAGCATACCACCTGCACCTGTCCCATCCACCTGCCTCCCGAAACCCAAGCGGACATTGGTACTTTCCAGTCAGGACTGTAGAAAGGCTGAGTGATTAATAATGCTATCTATCTATCTATCTATCTATCATCTATCTATCTATCTATCTATCTATCTATCTATCTATCTATCTATATTTAGATAGAGTCTTGCCCTGTCACCCAGGCTGGAGTACAATTGCACGATCTCAGCTTACCACAGCCTCTGCCTCCTGGGTTCAAGTGGTTCTCCTGCCTCAGCGTCTCAGATAGCATAGATTATAGGAATGTACCACTGCAGCCAGCTAATTTTTATATTTTTACTATAGACGGGGTTTCACCATATTGTTCAAGCTGGTCTTGAACTCCTAACCTCAGGTGATCTGCCCACCTCGGTCTCTCAAAGTGCTGGGATTACAGGCATGAACCACCAAGCCCAGCCAATGCCTTTAACTTATTTTTATTTTTGAGACAAAGTCTCTCACTCTTGTCATCCAGGCTGGAGTATAGTGGCGCGATCTCAGCTAACTGCAACCTCCACCTCCCGGGTTCAAGCGATTCTCCTGCCTTAGCCTCTCAAAGTGCTGGGATTACAGGCATGAGCCACCAGGCCTGGCCCAATGCTTTTTAGACAGAGACCTTTATGATAACAACTTACTATTTATATGTGAGAAATTAGTGAGCAGGAGAATGTCATATGAGGTTCAGCGTCTTTAATCCTTTCCTGGATGATAAATCCCCAGTAATTTAAACCCTTGTTTCTGTTGAATTTCTATCACTTTGGGGCTAGGGAGGGGCATGTATACCTTTGAGAGCCGGCAACATTCTCTTACATAGTTACGTGATAGTGTGCCTGAATTGCTATTAAATCTTGTGTGATCCAGGTGACGAGGTTTTAGGAAATCAGAAAATTGTGACGTTTTCCCTGTGTTGTAGGATACTTTGAAAGTCAAGAAAAGTTCTTCACCCTCCAGAAGAAATTGCATAGGAACCATTCTAGAATAATAAATTAGCTGTTTTAAAAGTAAGATCCTGGCCGGGTGCAGTGGATCACACCTGTAATCATACCACTTCGGGAGGCAGAGGCAGGTGGATTGCTTGAGCTCAGGAGTTTAAGACCAGCCTGGGCAACATGGGGAAACCCTGTCTCTACAAAAGGTACAAAAATTAGTCGGGCATGGTGTGACACTTGCCTGTAATCCTAGCTACTTGCGGGGCAGAGGTGGAAGGGTCGCTTGAGCCCCAGAGATGGAGGTTGCAGTGAACCGAGATTACACACTCCAGCCAGGGCAACAATAAAACCCTGTCTCCAAAATAAAAAAAAATTTGTTTTGAAAGTGCTAAAGAATTGAGATCATGTGTCTTATAGAACAGGGAGGATTTAATAAGTTCCTCAGCCACTATCACATTTCCACGCATGGTATTGAAATAATCTTTTCTGGTGAGTCAGATTTTATGAAGTTTGGTTCATAAAATTCAAAGTTTGAGAGACTCTGTGGAATGAGTAATCCTGTCATTGTTACACCAGCATTGCTTATTTGCTTTAAAATATCTTGAGTGTCTCTGGGTCGCTGTTCTCCTTTGTCAGTGTCTTCACCTGTGTGTCATTCTGTTATGTATCAGCACATCTGTGTCCCTGCGGATGAAGTAGTTTGTATCTTTCATTTTATCTCATGACAGTTGGGACCTTGACAAATAAATGCCTTACCCTGCTGATGTTTCCTTGACACTGGTGCCCAGCCTTCACTGTGGCATCACCTGAGGAAATTCAAGAGCCACTGGTGTCAGTTGGGTGTGGTGGCTCACGCCTGTAATGCCAGCACTTTGGGAAGCCAAGGTAGGCGGATCATCTGAGGTCAGGAGTTTGAGACCAGCCTGGTTAGCAGGGTGAAACCCTATGTCAACTAAAAATACAAAAGATTAGCTGGGCATGGTGGCGGACGCCTATAATCCCAGCTACTACTGAGACAGGAGAATTGCTTGACCTCGGGAGGCAGAGGCTGCAATGAGCCAAAATTGTGCCACTGAACACCAGCCTGGGGGACCAAACGAGACTCCGTAACAAAAAAAAAAGAAAGAGCCACAGGTTCCCTAGATTGTGATACGATTTTATTAACCTCATACTCTCCTGGGAGATTGAAAACACTTGGAGCATTATTGAGAGAATGCTGGTGCTTAGTGGGAAAAGCCATTGTGGGGGAGAAAAATGAGTTGTAACAATTTGCTGGAGGCTTAAGGAGAGCACCCAACAACTCATGAGTGGTTAACATGGTAGAATCTCAGAGAAGTGGAAATCCACACTTTCTGTGGAGAGAAAAGAGTGTGGGGAGATTATAACTCCATCAAGACAGTTGAAGGTGAGCGTAAAAAAAAAAAAAAAAAAAGACGGTAGGGAGAAAGATTTTATCTGACATACTCAACTTTCCAAAATAAATACAGTCAGCTGTATAAGTGTTGAGAACCTAGGCATAAGTCCTAGAGGTATGATTCAAATGTTAGCTGGAAGTGTGTGCCCAACATTAATTTAATACTAGATCATGGAGCATTTTAGGTAGAGTCATTTTAGGTCTGTTAATAATTTATAAGGCCACACCCAGGCACACGACATAGATTGTGATTTCCTAGAAAGCCCTTGTGTAACCCATAACTTTTGTGTGTTTAGCATCCTTGATCGACTCTATTGGGTTACTATTTATTTTTTTCTTTGAGATGGAGTCTTTCTCTGTCACCCAGGCTGGAGTGCAATGGCGCGGTCTCGGCTCACTGTAACCTCTGCCTCCCAGGTTTAAGCGATTTTCCTGCCTCAGCCTCCTGAGTAGCTGGGATCACAGGTGCGTGCCACGACTCCTGGCTAAGTTTTGTATTTTTAGTAGAGATGGGGTTTCACCATGTGTTGGCCAGGCTGGTCCCAAACTCCTGATCTCAGGTGATCCACCCACCTCAGTTTCCATCTCTCTCTGTCACTCAACTAGTGTAGTGGTATCATCGTAGCTCACTGCAGCCTGAAACTCTCCTGGGCTTTTAGGCAATCAGTCCTCCTGCCTCAGCCTCCCGTGTAGCTAGGACTACAGATGTGCTCCACCATGCCCAGCTAAATTTTTATATATTTTTTTGTAGAGATGGGGCTTGCTTTGTTGCTTAGGCAATCTCTTGGATTCAAGCGATCCTCTCACCTTGGCCTCCCAAGGTGCTGAAATTACAGGTGTCTGCTACCTTGCTCAGCCTGGCAATTTCTTAAAATGTAACACAACTCTTCATCCCTTCAAATTTTCTCATGAGATTGCAACAATTCAGTCACATCTTTGGGCTCCACTTCTAGTTCTCTTGCTATCATCTGCAGTGACTCCCTCCACTACATCTTTCTGCTCCAAGAAGTTGATCCAACCCTAATGCATGACCTCGAGTCTTCAACTCAAAGTCAGCTTCTTCAAACATCCTATTAATGTTGATACTTTGAACTCTACGCACCGTGCAATCATGAATGTTCTTCTATAGTAGCTCCAGTTTTAGTATATGTGAATAAGACTTGAAAGTTGAAACTACTTCTTAATCCATGGGCTGTAAAATGGATGTTGGGTTGCCAGACATGAAAATATCTTTCATGCCCTTGTACATCTCTTGCAGAGCTCTTGGGTGACTAGGTGCACTGTCTATGTTTGGTAATATTTTGAAAGGAATCTTTTGAAAGGAGTCTCAACAGTGGGCTTAAAATATTCTGTAAACCGTCTGGGTGTGGTGGCACTTGCCTGTAATCCCAGCACTTTCGGAGGCTGACGTGGATGGATCACCTGGGGTCAGGACTTCGAGACCAACCTGACTAACATGGTGAAACCCCTTCTCAATACAAAAAATTAGCCGGGCATGATGGCACCTGCCTGTAATCCCAGCTACTTGGGGAGGCTGAAGCAGGAGAATCGCTTGAACCTGGGAGGTGGAGGTTGCAGTGAGCTGAGATCACACTCCAGCCTGGGCAACGAGCTAACCCCCTCTCCAAAAAAAAAAAAAAAATTCCATAAACCATTCTCCAAACAGACGTGCTGTCATCCAGGGTTTGTCGTTCCATTTGTAGAGCACAGGCACAGTAGATTTATCATAATTCTTGAGGGGCTTAGGATTGCCAGGATGGACAATGACTGTTGACTTTGACTTAGTCACCAGCGTCATTAGTCCCTACCAAAAGAGTCGGCCAGTGCTTTGAAGCTTTGAAGCCAGGCATTGACATCTGTAGCTATGCAAGTCCTAGATGGCGTCTTTTTCCGATATAAGACTGTCTCCTTCCAGTAAAAGGATGTCTTGAAAGTCTGTTGTTGAGCGGTCTTCATCAATTACCTTAGCTATGTCTCTGAGTAACTTGCTGCAGCTTCTATGTCAGCACTTGCGGCATCACGCTACACATACATGTTTTGGAGATAGCTTGTTTTCTTCAACCCATATCATCCAGCCTGTTAGCTTCCTCATCTCTCATCCTTCATAGCATTGAAAAGTTAGGTCCCTGCTTAGGGTTAGTCTTTGGCTTGAGGAGGAGTTATAGCTGGTTTGATCTTTCCTCCAGATCATTAAGCTTTCTGCATATCAGCAATAAGGCTGTTTTGCCTTGTTACTAGTTTGAGTGTTCACTGGAGTGAACTTAACATTTCCTTCAGGAACTTTCCCTTAAATTCACAACAACTGTTTGGTGTGACAGGCCTAGCTTTCAGTCTGTCTGCAGCTTTCTACTTGCTTTCCTTACTAAACTCAGTCATTGTAGATTTGT